TAACGGTTTGTAATTCTTGTTGTGGTCGGACTTTCTTTGATGAGTTTCGAGCAATGCAGATGTTGTGTTTCCTGCATATTTTCTTGCGATGTTACTGAGAGTCGAGCTAGGTTAGTTTGACGTTGCATGCTTGACTTGGATAGTAATGGTGTCGTTGACGTTGTAATGTTATTTTTCTGTATTGTTATTTGCTTAAATTTGGAACTACTGGGAACTTTTCTTATTTTGTGGCCTATGTGGCTTCAGATTCACACTGTAAGTAACGTTCTGCCCTGTTCCTGTAGTTGGCATACATTTCGTAGTATTTGGTAATGACGTCACTTCGGAGGGTTTACTTATCAGGCGATGACTGATCGCTTCTTGTACCTGACTTCGACTTGTTTTAACTCGCTCTGTACGAAGTTCTTCTAATCTTTCGTAATAACCATATGGAAGAAAAAATTCTAAAAAGTCTGCCTTGAAGTTTGACCAGAGGTTCCAACGTTTATTGTTGTTACGGTGCCACATCAGTGCCCGATTTTCAAGGAGTATGATCATCATCCTTGGGACTATATTTAAGTCGATGTCATAGATTTCTGATAGCTCTTCTATTATTTTCACGAAGCCCAATGGATCTCCTTTGCCGTCATAACGTACTGACCACTCAGCTATTTGGTCAAGGCTTTCAATATACGATGGCATTGTATGTTAATTCCTCTCGTGACTTTGATCAAGACCTTCTCTTGTGATGACGCACTGCTCTGTTTGAAGAACAAACTCTTTCACTGTTCCTCATTTAAAGATTTGCAATTCTAAGCAGTGGCTTCCGATTTCTCTGTTCCTGTGTTTTTAGTGGTTTAAGCGACTTCGTGTGTAGTCTAATGATTTTTTTTTCTGAAACGTTTGTACACTGTTCTTTATGTTCCTAGTGCGTTCTTTTTTTTTCTAAAACTCTGTCCCTGCTCGGGCGCCAATTGTAACGACACTTTGGGTGACGTTCAAAAATTTTTAGTTTTTGCTGGGGTATCCTCAGCCGTAATCGGACAAGCATTTGTTTGATATAAATGTGCTTTAAACTTTAAAAAAAATCCTAAAAATATGATTTTTTTTTGCTTTAATTAGTACTTAACATACTTATCTATCTAAATTATAAAAAAAAACAAAACATTTCTCATAATAACTATTAATTTAAAGTAAAAAACAGAACCAACACAATTTTTTGGGCTCAACGTATAATCGGACAAAATTAAACATCCATTTTATAAATGCAGAAATGTGGCATTTAATATTTTGTTGCATATTCTTTGTTATCCAAAACGGCCTAAATACGATTTGGAACTGATTTTACCAATTTTTGCAACACTTCTGGTTCAATAGAGTACCATGCTTCGAGTAAAGCATCCTTTAGCTGTACTATTGTGTTAAATTTTTTTTGGTACACTCCCCTAGCTAATTCCACCCAATGATGCTCAATTACATTAAGGTCTGGGCTCTATGCAGGTGCGTCAATGAGTTTGGGGCAGTTATGGATCAACCAAAGCTATGCTACGCCTGACGTATGCTTGAGATCGTTGTCCTGATAAAAATTAAAATTTTCTGCGATACTCAATTTCTCTGCACTTTGCTTTATATTCTGTATCAGAATGTCGAGGTATTTAGATTTGCCCATTTTACTATCTATAAAATGCAAATTACCCACTCCCGCACTCGACAAACAGATTTTATTTTTTTCTTCTTCTTGCGATATGTAGCACAGAAATTTACTCTGTAAATTTGTGTCGTTACAGTGTGCTTCAGGTAGATCAAGGGGGCCTAGCAAAACTAAAATCAGTTAAGTAAAGAGAAACACAGTAAGCCACGGACGTGCGTATTGATCTATATAGAAGTATGGCTACTGTCAATGAATATCTTGAGGGACCAATGCTGCAGGTTAGCTATGAGGAACATCACTGCGTTGTGAAAGAAATGATACTACAAATGATGCGTGCTCTGAAAGTGAGTCCTGGAGAAACCGGACGTTTTCCCAATAATGACACACCTCATAAAAAGGTGTATTATTTATTGAGTGGCTCGAAAGACAACCAAAATACACAACATTAATTGGCGCAGCCGGTATACACACGTTTTTATAATCATACATTATAGAACGTGCAACGTGAGACGACAACGTCACCTACCTACGTGGGAGTTTACAGCATTACAGCATATACAACGCCAACAACATTGGTACACGTTTGGTGCAGAATACAAAACGTGCAACAAGGAACACTACACGCGATGGAGGTTTTTTAAAATGCTTAATGGAGGAAAGTATCGATTCACTTAATCAGGAACTCACAGTGTTAAAAAAGGAAAGATTATCAAAGATAGAGGAAGTCGAATATTTATAAGAAAAAATTGCGAACGTGAAAGATATTAAATCCCTAGAAATGGGTAATAAAATCACAGAGCTAACACAGGCCAAGGAAGGTCTTAAGCATAAATGCGAAGAACTGAGTGAACGGGCAAAAGTTCTAACAGAGTTATTGCAAGATTCTGAACAGCAGGCCGCCGGCTTAGAAGAAGCATTAAAAAGTAAAGGAGTAAGGGAAGGCGACGTAGATAAATTATTAAACCAAAGTATAATGGAGGGAGAATTACACCGTAAAACAGTGAAAAAATTACAGGGACAGGTGCAGCATTTGACGAAAGAGTTGGATTCTTGTTATAGATCGAAACCAGTAATTTAAAATGGTGAGTGATAATTTTAGTCTCGAAGTTAAGAATTTTTTTTAAACTAAGACATCTAAAGTTAATTTTAAAAATAAAGTAATTGTTAATATTGTGAAAAAAAAAAATGTGAGAAATATCATTTTAAAAAATATTTTTAAAAAAAAAAATTAAAAATTTAAAATTGAATATTATTGTTGAAATTTAGGTAATTAATATAATAATGATTTTAAATTTTTACAAGGGGAGTTTATTTTAAAGAAAATTTTTTTTATAAATTTTTTTTCGGGGAAGATGTGGCACAGTTATGAACAACAATAATAATAATAATTTTTTAATGATAATGATTTTAATGATTAATTTTAATGATTTTAATGAGTTTTAATGAATGATGAGTGATAATTTTTTTTATTATTTTTTTCCGTGTTTTTGTTTAATATTTAGATTGAGATGTTTTTGATTGCATGTAGGGATCGGGTTTTACTTTATTTTTTTTTGAAATATAGGTTGATTAGGATATTTTTCCGAGTCGAGTTTAGGTTTTTAGTAGCTAGAAGATGATTTGGATTTTTTAGGGATTACGAATTATGTTAAGGAGGAATGAGTTTTCTGCAAAAGACCAGGGAATACTACGGTGCTTTAAGGGCAGTAAACAAAAAATAGAAATTTTTTGGTGAATAGTTATGGTAAATACCATTAATGGTGATATTTTAATAGTATATTGAAATGAGGAAATAAGTTGAGTTATAGGAAGTTAACGAAACTGGGTAATGTAGAAGTTTAGTAGGAAGAATTAGTCTTGATAGTAGTGACAATTCTTTACTTATTAGCAGAATTTGTCTACGTTACGAGAATTTAATATTACGAGAATTAATAAAAAGAAAATGTGGTTTAAGTTAAACAGGGATTTAATTTATAAACTAGTGTCGGAATAGTATAATAAGGATAATTATGACGTTCCGTTTCGGAGTAGTTAGGTCTTGTAGGAGTTTTGTGAGGAATGAAGTAAGAATTAGTATTCATAGTAGTGACAGTTCTTTACTCATTAGCAGAATGTACTTACGTCGGGAAAAATTCAAATATTCCAAGGCACATAACAGAGTAATTTACTAAAATTTCTTTAGCATTTGAAGGATTCTATGGGTAAATAGACGAGGATGTTTTATTTAACTTCTTTTAATATAAAAGAAAAATATGGGATTAGCTTTTAGAGTAAGATAGTAACATGGTTTTTGGATAGGATAATAAACTAGTTGGGTGCCGTATTGGTAATCATATGAAAAGTGTAAAGTATACTTGGGAAAGGCAATTATATGAAATATATCTAAACACAAGAAGAAGAAAAGAAAAAATTAAATACATAAATATTTAGTTGTTCATACTGTAACTACTTCAAGAAAAACCTATGAAATTTATAAGATACGATAATATAAATAAGATCTGTTGTTTTTTGTTGTTTTTTTTTTTTAAAAAAAAGAGGAATACTTTAGGATATAAAAAAAAAAAATATTTGTTTTTATGTTGTATTAAGGAAAAACTCAATTTGTACGTAAAATTTTTTTTAAAAAAAAAAATGTATTAATAAAACCAATAAAACTGAAATTATTACAACAAGAAAAAGTAAGCGAATTACGAAAATAGGCCTGAAACACCACAAACAAAAAAAAAAAAATTGTCGTTGTAAAGCAAGACATTAAAATTTTCAGTGTCAGGTGCAGTGCAGGTGTCGAATTCTGTTAAGTCATTCAAAAATATATTTGACATTGAAAAAAAAATTGGATTAAATAATATAGAGTGACGTAGAGTTTTTGTTAAATAATAATGTTTTGTTATTGTAAAAGATTGAAATATAAAAATTGTAAAATTATAAAATTGAATGTTGTAAATTGATGTTGTATATCTAGTCTAGCTAGATATATTAACAGAATAATGTTACTTCACAAACCATTTTTGTGAGGTATAATGTAATTAAAGTCAATTCTGCAAACAATGCGGAAACATTGTTACAAAATATTATTGAGTTCAGCTACTGAACTAAATATTTATTTTTTGCAGAATTGCAAATTCATGATTTACGTTAGGAGATAATATTTTAAACCCGCACTATATTTATAGAAAAATTTTAGTGTCAACACAAAGGAAACTCGAAAACTGAAAAAATTTTTTTGAAGATTCAACATATTTTATTATAACCTAAATAATTTTTTGCAAGCAATAATAACTTTTTAATATTTTAAAGTTAAACTAAATGAAAAAACCTTTTGATAAATAAAGAAAAGAGAAAAAAAAAAAAATTTTTTTTGAAGTAACTATTTTTAAAAACTTCTTAATAAGCAAATTTATAAAATTATTTTATAAAATTTTTTTATTGTAAACTTATAACATGTAAATTTTTGATTAGTAATAAAATATAACTATTGTAGAGTAATAATTATAAATATTTTATAATTTTAAGAACAATCACAAATATTTAATGTGAACTTAAATTTGATGCAAGTTTAATATAGACCGCTAGATATGTAACATTGTGTGCCACAATGTTCTTCATAGGGGGAAGGAATGTTATGAGTTAAAT